CGACAGCGCCGAGAACGGTGGAGTCTTCCACTTTTGGGGCTTCCCAACCTTGTCTTTTCTTTGAAAGCCGTGTCTCCTCCTTCGAAGCCTGCGAACCAGAGCTTGGCACTGATGATGGAAGTGGTGTCCCTTCCCAATGCGATGCTGATAATGTTGACGGTTTCCACTGCTCCTGTGCCGCAGCGCCATTCATTGAAGATGATCGCTCGAAAGTGCTCTTGTGGAATCGACATCATGATTAAAGTTAAAGAAGGCAACCCGGCAATATATACCTACTGCGGAGAAGTATGATCGACAGCGATAATCTATCACGTAGCAGATTCTAGGTATCGATCAATAAGCGAAAGTTCTGGAGCTTTCAAAAAATCGGCTCAGGACTTTCTTACCATCCCAATAGTAGGGTTAGCCGTCCGTTGTGTGATCAACGCTTTTCTATTGATGTACATCATCGTCTCTCCTCCTTCATTGCAAGAACGCCTTCACCACCATGAACTCCCTCCCATGTGCCAAAGCAATATACTGTGCTCATAGAACTTTTGAATATATCGGAGCGCCTACCAAATGCCTTTCAAAGAGGACCCGGAAATATTGAGTGAAGTCTGAAGGACGAGTAAACGGGCCGGCAGTTTGATCCACCGTACAGCGTTGGGCGGAACAGAAAATGCTGTGCAATGGATTACGCTGTCAGAGGTGTTCTGAAACTGAAAAGGGCCACTTGTGTTCACTGTGGCACGGGAACTTTTGCCTTTCGACAAAGTATTACACATTGACATTTTTATTCGAGGAATACAAATGTTTGAGCCAAATGCTCATGCTGCACAGGTTATCGTTCACATTCCAGGTATACAAGTGCGATTTAGAAAAAATTGCGCATCGGTTGCTTAATTATGATGGCTCGCATTACCAACTTCATGTGTATGCAGTCAACCACTACGAAGGGTAAACACGTTCTGACCACATTTTGAATCTATTTAGCACAACAAATGATTTTTCTTTTGTTCAGCCCAATTGCCAACATTAGCACATGGCCGTATGAGATGGTAAACGCCACTAATTTTTGGCTCGGTGACTTTCCGTCAATGCAACGAGTAAGGTTTCATCCTTCAAGTGTTGGTCGGCAGGTTCGCGTTGCGTTGCGGGGTGAATCGCAGTCTCGCTTTGACCGTGCTGCATACGCTTCGTGCGCTTTAACACATTGCAACCCGCGTGAATCGCCGGGTATGCACGTCGAAACTCCCACATCTGGCATTTGTGCATCGCCGGGTATGCACGCACGAAATGCAGCTATGTCACATGTGTGACATGCGCTGAAATCGTGCGGGCGTCAATCTGTTAACTAGCAGTGCGGCCGCTGCCTCGTGGGCTTCTTGACCGAACTCCGTCTCCCTTCCCTTTATATTGCTTGTAATTACCGTGGTGATTTTTACAGCTTATGTATCCTAATGCTCCTTATATGGGTTGTGCGTATACAACCAAGAGTAGGCACGGAAGGCCATGGCTGAAAGTAGTCTGCGTTTTCGAGGATATGCGGTACGTGATTATAAACCGACAAATACGATTTATTAGATACGCCTTCCTACAGGCACCCGTGGGATCCCTTTATGCCAAAACCGTCTGGAAAGCCGTGCAAAACGGACAGCAATTGCAGGAAATTCGGTTGGAATTTCGAATGTGCTCGCCTATAATGGGCCTTTGTTTTGCTCCTAGTGACTCGAAATTTTGGATTGCATGAGCTCTTGAAATTTTTGTGCGCTGATTTGATCAAATTAATCTGTCTTCGACTTTGTATGTAGAAAAATTCAGCTAGAATTTCCAAGATACCATTTTATTCAATAAATGTGGCTGTCAAATATTTTACAATACTGTCAATTATGGAAGATAATTGTGCTTTGTTGCTCTTATATTTGATTTTTATCAAAAATTTCGCACTTATCCTTACAAAGGTAAGGGCAGTCAGAACAAATGCAGTGATATTTATTAACTTCACGAATACTTGTGCTTTACCGGTGACAAACTAATCACAAGATGTGATATAGGAGACTTTGTGGTAGTTTTCTTACTCTTCACCGAACTGGTCATTTGCCAAAAGTATGCGCACACAGCAACGACGGTCGGTGAAGGAGGGTGGGGCACCACTGCTTAAACGCACATTTCCAGAGATGCGCCACAATTTTCGTGAGGGCCTGGCGGGGGGGTGGTGGTTATTATGTTTACAGCTATTTAGCTGCGCACGCTAACGGCTGCATCACACGGTAATTCTGTGTAAATTTAAGTCCCACAGCCAAAGTAAACCTTCAGTTAATTTAAACTGTTCCGTCGTCATCCCTGGAATGCTTGTATGGCCTATGAAAATACATACGCTCTCATCAAATATAGCGCAGCAGAACTCAACGATGAATTGAGTGGTATAGAGGAAAGATAACATCAGTCGTAATTACAAGAGGCGGATTTACGATGAAGGTTATCTCATTGAAACAATGGATGATCATAGAGCAGGGAGAGAGGTACCATTGTGAGGAACGCTCGACCGAGAAATGCGAGACGCTCATTTGCTATTCGAACTTGCCGCACAAATGTGCTCTCATGCTGCCCTTCAACGCTTCGACTGCTATCCACTGCAACATTGACGTTGACTAGATTGATGATTGCAGGAGGTGATGAGATTGTTCATGTGGGTGCCCGCCACCGCGCAAGATGTGAGCCATGCTAGATCGGTCGGACTAATCTTTCGCTGCCTAATGCGCGTCGGTCAGCACCCTCAGAAGGTCCGCCTGTTTCCTAACCAGGGTGAATAACGGTCGAGGATTTCCTCGACCATAGCTCTCTACCATGCGAGAGTAGTGCCGAGAGTGAACATCCGCGCGGAGGGCACAGACGGCACGCCCATGGCGAGTGTGAATGTCCGCGCGAGAGATCGTGTCTGACCGGGCAGAGAATCCTCGACGTGCCGTTGAGGAATCTTCAGCATATTCACCTGCTCCAAAACTATTGCAATTTTCCCTTTCTTTGCCTTCGGTCTTTCGGTATAGACCCCCTTCAAAGCGTTCATCCACCATTACTCGTAATGGCTCTGTGAACAACCACCATTTTCGGAGAATGCACGCAGTCTAACGATCGTGTACGTTTCCTACCAATATTATCGGAGACAAATATAACAGTTTGCATCCAAGTGGCATGAGGTACCCTCCAAATTCTATAACTTTAAAACTAATTTTAGTAGTGATCGAGTGTCAAATGATGACGAGCGCATGGAATCCTAGAGACAGTAACAGTGCTTACACCATTCAGTCTAAAGTCCCTGCTAGTATCCTAATACGCAAGGCACATTCTGTGCAAAGGAGAAAACGTACTGAAATCACATGATGTTCTGACTCGTTTGAGCAAAGCTTGCCTGCATTACCTATTCTTCTAATATCGAGTCCTCATTGAAGAGTGGCGAAGCCTAACATAAGAAGGTAGCATAGATCTATGGTTCGAGAGCAGATAGTGGTACGTGGGGAACCGGTACAATGTGGTTTTCCCACGTAGCGCTATTGTCTTTATTAAAGGGACGAAATGTCTCGATTACCGGGACTGCTGTGCGGGATACATTTGTGCACTTCCGTAGTCAAAGGCAACTACAAAGTTCTGGGAGTTGATGGAGCTGGTTGTCCGTTTGATAGGAATTGCATGCACATATTTGAGACTTGTAAAATTGGCTCAGATCTCAAAACTTTTATTTCAAGCGAGTTTAGCTGGGATTATTTGCTAGAGCGACAGTAGCGCACGTCAGTGGTCAACGTACGCAGCTTTGAAAAAGTAATTTCAAAAGCACACACTCTTGATTCTTGTGCTAGCAGTTTTAGTGTCTCCATCCATTATTGTATTATTAGGTGCAACACACGCGAACGAGCGATGAAAGATGGTGCATTTCACCAGCTGAATAAGCAACCGGATTGGCTTTGTTCCAGGAATGAGATAAGGAAGTTCGTGTATTCGTAACTGCTATTTAAATTGCCAATTTGAATTCCAAAACCACTCATTCGAGCGATGATGGTGTGTGACAAGAGGGGCCGCTACCGCGCGCATAGTCCCTGGATCAAAATTCCCAGGTCAAATCCAGCGTACGTCAGCCAAACTTCTATAGGTGATTAGTTGTTGCAAGGAGCGATAGCTTTACATAAAACACGTCGGTAACTTAATTTTGAAAAAGTCGCAGTCTAAGGGTTAAACCGCTGACGACGATGTGTAGATATACGGCCCTGAACCTGAGTGCATCACAGGCATTCTGAAGTGATTTTTAAATCTGTCGACGCTTCTATGATGTTATGAGCAGTGGGCTCAGAAAACTGTCAAACAATGCATAAAATGGATTTTGACTTGTTTTTTTGTTTGTTAACTGCTGTTTTGCCGCAGTTCGCCTTGCGAATGTTTCACAAGAATGCTGGGTTGTGAACAAAACTTTCGCCCCAGGCGGGACTAGAACCCGCACCTCTCGCTTTCCGGGCAAGTGCGCTACCAGTTACGCTACCGGGGCACCATTTCATTCCAACTCAGCCCTTAGTTTTGCCGTCTACTTCTTGACATTAGATCTGCTGGACTCTCATCTAATGTAGTAGTAATGTAGTTGGTGTACGTGTGTACTTTACAAGAGCAAATTTGCGGCTGTGAAGGACAGCAAGTTAAGTAGAGCGAAAATAAGGCCATCAGCATAATTTATGGCATCATAGTTCACTTCCCCTCAAGGGAATTAAAAAGAAATAAGCTAGAAGAGTGAATTTTTTGATGCACATTCACGAAGCTGTAGGTATCGGATGCCTACTGCTTTGAGTGCAATCGAAGGCGGTGCGCAAACGACTTCACGGGATAATACACTACACCGCATAATCATACTTCCACCTACAAATTCCCCAAAAACTTGCATCTGAGGATGTCTAGAAAAAAGCCTATATTGAGGAGTTGTAAGACCGCTGCTCTGAATATCAACACAAAATCCAGTTTGAAAGAGCAACAATTTTTTTTCCTTTTTTGAAAATACCCCCTTGCCTATGACGCAAAATCATAGTTCCACCACATGTTTCTCCGCTGCATTTTTTTACCCAATCAAATTTTGAAATTATTACCCTTTAAGTTGCTTAGGTCATTGCAAAACTGAAACCGCTGTCAGAATTCCGTGAAGACAAAATCCTAGTGAAGGAGGCATACAGGTATTGTCGAGGTGTCAGCTGACGCTGGAAATTAGCCATTTTTCTCGGAAAATTTCGCAAAGTCTAGTGAAGTGGTGGCACTTTTTTATCTGTGATATTTTGAAGTCCTCTGACCATACTCCTGATCTTTTTCTTCTCCATACATGTTCGCTACAAAGTAAAAAACCGATCTGAGAAAGAAAAACGTTAAGAGAAAGAAAGACGCAAATCAAAAATCGCAAATGAAAGAATGCCACCGCTTCACTCGACTTGGCGAAACTTTCCAAGAAAAATGGCTCGTTTTTGGCTCGTTTCCCTATGATTTTTTTCACCAAAACTGTGTTTCTTATTTTTCAGACATAGACTATCATAAGCGTTCTGAAAAAGAAGTTATATTACACGCATTGAGACATTAACTTTTAAAGAGATTTTGACTTCCGCACCCGGCTTGTATTGTATGATTGCTTAATGACTGTGGCGCTCAGTCTCTGGTCGGATCAGTATGAAACGTTTCTTACCGTATCAAATAGTTCTGTGGCCATACAGGCCCGCCCGCAGCCCCGAGAAGCTGCGTTCCGACATAGTAGTGACTCTGACAAAATTCCAGCGTCAGCTCTGACCCTTCGACAAATCATGCGCGTTTTTTTGCTAGGATTTTCCTTTTACGGAAGTCTGGCAGCGTTTTGCTCTTGCAATAACCTAAGCAACAAAAAGGGTCCTTCAGATTCTTGCCCGTAAAAATAAAATGCCAGGTAGAAAACGTGTCTACTTCTTCTTCCTAGCGGTTAGACCCGCCGCTCATTCTTCTTCTCCTAGCCAGTTTATACCCACGCATCGCAGAATCCGCCCTGTCTATTCTGTGCGTATAAAACGCTGGTGGAACTTATGATTTGCGCACAGCCAGAGTGAGTATTTTCGGAACCGAGAATGAAAAATCTGTTTGGCTCCCCCCCCCCCCTCAGAATTGAATTCCTCGTGTTCGCTACTCAGGACAGCGTTCATATATGCCACAGATCGTTCCTAGAACCCTTTTCGGAAACATTTTCAGATGCAAGTTTCTGGCAAATTTGTAGGTGGAAGTATAATTATGCGTCGCAGTATAGCTTGTGAAAATCGCATGGGCAGCTCTATTTTCTACCTGCCCTTCCGGCAATATACGCGTCATTAACACATTGACGACATTGAGACGCGGTAACGCGTCTCACTTTGCGCACCTCGTTGGACATTGAGACGCGTTACCGCGTCTCACCCTTATCATCCCTTTTTCTAGGGCATGCGCAGCTTTTTCCCGAATTGTTTGTCTCTCTTCTATGGATTAGAACATAACATTATTGTGAACGACATAGGTCATTGTTTGTTCAAATATGCTCCAGTTTAGAAGAAGTTTTCCAAGCTCACCGAAACCGGCGGCTTGGTTCATTAATAGTTTTCATGCTATTCTCATGAACACGTCAATAAAAAAGGGTAGTGAAAGTAAATGCAAATCTAAAGAGACAGAAAAATACATGTTTCACTTGGTA